TTTTATTTGGATTTTGACTATTCAGGGTTTTAAGGGCAAAAATTCATTTCGCAGTTGAACTCTGAAGTTCGACAAAAAAAAAGAAGAACCGTATAACAAGCTTTAAGAGAAAATTTCAATTTTCAGGACCACGATGGATCTAGTTATGAAAAAGATTTCTTAAAATTTTAACAATTTTCGTAAATAAAAGTATCCTTGTTTTCTCCTCCGCTACCCGATATAAAAACATTAAAATAAAATCGACAATTTTTCGGTGTTTTCAATATTTTTTACGTTTCAGTGAAAAATCGACTTGGAAATTGATTTATGAATATATTGACAGCGATGTTCGAATTGGGGAAATGTATGCGTCGTCGTAGCGTAATTTTTGCGTAGAATTATATTTGTGTGAGAGTGGGATAATGTAGATAGTTGGCGGTAGAAACGGAGCTGCTTGCAATTCCGATGAGAAAACTGAGTGCTAGGTGAAGCTCGCTCGCATCTCGACGGATTTCTGTCTTCTCGCCTCTCATACATATTGTGATTACTTTGTGAGGAAGGGACGAGGAAGGGAGATGAAACGTGGCCCCGGCCAATGGGAAAAGAAACCATGGCTTTCCTCCTCCATGTTAATAAACATCGGTGATAAACAAAAAATATGAAAGAATCGTTCGTAATTTTTACTCGAACTATTCACAGACAATTCGCTTGCCATACTTAATTATTGTCTGCCTTTTATCATATCTAAAATTACCATTCTGATTGCCGTTATTCATTTCAAATAAACTTAGAAATTAGTATAGAATATTTCGTATAGAAATTTTCTATCTGACTTTGAATTAAACTTTCAATTTTTTAATAAAGTGCAGTAAATTCACAAGAGAATTCGAACCACTTGTGCTAAAACTTTTGCGTATACTTACCTTTTACTTTGAATATTCAGCATTTATCGTAGATAATAAAATTTTTTAAAAGTTACACACGTTGCAATTAAATGTAGTAAATAATTGATTTTTCAAATTAAATACTTTTGAGATGTCCGCGAAATATTCTATTAAATATTTCTACTACGTACTTTTGGATTTGACCGATAGACCCGTGATAGACTACAAACTACAAACTTGACCAAATATCATGAATACAACGTGTATTTCGTACAACGTATATAATATATTTGACACACGCGCACTATGCTACGAGCTTTCGCAAGAACCAAGCGACAGCCAAGATCGGAAATTCGAGATTCAATTTGAAAAATTTCAAAGTGCCGAGGGATTCGTGCAACGAAACATGAAAGGAAAGAGTCAAGCAACGAACGAGTCGACTCGAGTCGAAGTTAGATTAGTGGCAATTTTCGAAAAACGGTCAGTGATCGATCGACGACGGTAACGAATCGGTGTACGCGAATCAAGAAACGATCTTATCGATTCCATTTCCGTTTTGCTCTTCGATCCTGCCTTCTCGATCCCCGATTGCGTGCCATTTTCCACGCGACGTCCCAATTCACGCGAATTTCCTCGCGAACGACGACGACGACGTCTGACCGATGCTAAATAGCAGAAACATAATTCCGTGAGTGCAGGGGAATTGCTTTATCGCGCGGAATAATGGCCCCGTATTCACGGCCGGCCCACTCATAACTCTCCTCCTTTCCATTGCACTTTTCGGAGATTGCACGTGGCGTCGATTCAACGAGGATCGAAGCCTTCAGTCCTCGTTTTGCATCGCTGAATCTCTTCTTTTCTTTTCTTTCCTTTTTTTTTTTTTTTTTTGTTCTTTTTCGTCGAGAAAATTATGGGAGATTGCATTCGTGAGAGAAATTGAAGGTTTTTGATGATGATCGATCGAGGTACCGTAAGTGCCAAAATTGAGAAGTTTTTTTTTTTTAATCGAAAAACGTTCTACGTTGTAATTGCGATACGAGTATTTCTCTTTTATTATAAAATTAATTATACTTGTGTCTGTGTGTGTTATTACATTATTTCATATTGTATATAATTATATATTAATATCGCAACAGAGAAAATTGTAAGTTGGCCCGATTGGTCCAAACTGATATATTTACATGTTTGAGTATAATATGTTGAAAGTAAAAAATTAATTTGACTTCTACAACACTTGAATAAAGAATAAAGGAAGAATAATGATAAAATTTTGTTTCGTGATATTTATACACTTTGCCGATTCGAGAAATTAAATTTTAATACATAGAGAAAGATGATAAAATTTTCAGAAATTTAAAGATTAACAATATAAAATAAATCATCTGGATGTATCTCGTTTCTCTGTACAAAACAGTTCTGATAAACAGTATCAGAAACTTCATCCACTTCAAACAAGATGGGAAACAGGACTACATCCAAGAAAAATTGTAAAACTAAATTTTCCTGACTTTAAGTGATGTTGATATACGAGTCTGACTGGAACTCGCTTGAGAGATACAAGAAACGCTTGTAATAACGTCAAGTCTCTTTATACTCAATCTAAAATATCAACGTGAACCTTTCCTCCCTTCAAAGGGAAAAATTATATATGAACAAAGTTCTTGTGAAAACTTTCTGTTTGTATTATTTTGTTAATTTTATATTATATTAATTATTATATAAATATAGGTGTAAGTACTTATACTTATTTTGTTAATTTTATATTATATTAATTATTTTGTTAATTTTATATTATGTTAATTATTATATAAGTATAGGTGTAAGTACTTACTATAATATAGGTGTAGTATAAGTATTAATTATAAGTATATACTATATAGTATATAGTATTATATTAATTACTATATATTATTATATATCATATTATGCTACATCATTTGGATATTACTCTTAATTTTTAACATTAAAAACTTCTCGTGTAAGCCTTCTGTTTACCTTCTATGAACCTTCCATTTCCATTATTCAAATACCCCCCATCATACTCCCCACGTACCTTCGATTAATCAGTAATTCATTAACACGTTAACTCGCCGCGATTCAGAACACTTGGATACACAAATTATCTGTATCATGTGCAACGCGGGAATATTTTGTCAAGGTAATTACGACTGGTAATAAAGTTTCATCGAGCGGACACCAATCAGCGAAACGACGTGGACCGGCTCGGTTGGATTGCAGAACGGGTAATTAAAAGCATTGTCAGAGTACAAAAGAAGGGTGGAGCGGCTTACAATCGGCGCAGAGACGAGACGAGACGAGACGAGACGAGACGAGACGAAAAGAACAAGAAGCGGCGAGAGCACCCGCGCGCAAGAGGAGACACGATGGACGCTCGCCGGTTTCCGTGGCGGTTTTCAGCCTGATTCGTAATTACAAAGTGCGATCTAAATCAATCTTGATTACACACGGTGAGACGCTGCGTCGTCAATTTACGTAATACAAAAAGGCCGCAGATTGCATGTTATTTTGGAACGATTAAATATAATCGTTCAATAATTATAAACGGGGCAAAACCGAATTGATGGAATATATATATATACCAGTGTGGTGGGAATCGTATCTTGGCTATGGCTGACTTGTCTTCTGCTTGTGCTGCAGAGTTTCTTCTGCTGTTTCGTGAAATTTCAGACTTGATTTTATTGACTTTGCCCTCCTTCGGTTTAACTTCATTCTCCATTTTTTTTCTAACAGGCTGCTTTTGTTTGTGAATAGTTTTGAAGCTTAATGATCGTGATTAGACTGCGAATCTTTTTACAAATGATTATTAATTTATAATATGAAATGTAATATCATGTGTTATGTAAAATATTTATTATACAGTAATGTAAAATATTTATCACTATCTGTTGTAAAAGTACATTCTATTTATACAAAATTAAAGATTTGATCTTGACGTCTACAGCTCAAGTGGAGCACTGTGACTCTTGTTAATTTTACATTAACATATTAATTATATAAATTACTTGAAGATCCAGTGTGAATCTGATGAAATGAAATATAAATTCCAACCATTAAACTAGTATTAAAAGTCCATTCGAGAGTGAAAGTTAAACGTTTCGAGAAGAGTTATACATCGTATAATTAACCACGAATTTTCCACACGTTTGAATCTCCCGCAATCTATACGCCCAATCGAGACAAATTGTCCCGATTCGAAAGAATGAAAAAAAAAAAAAGAAAAACGCGAACAGGTCTTCATATACGCGAGCAATTACGCGAGTATCAGCTTCCCATGTAAAAATTCCACGAGGCACGATTGATCCACGTCCCGCGAGGACGAGCGTCGATTGAATTGAACCGAAACGGGCAATTAAAACTCCACTGGTGGAATCCGCTCTGGATTCCGTGCGGGAAACGACAGCAAGGGCAAAGAAGTTGACGTGCGACGAAACGAAGGGAAAGAGGAGGAGCGGACAGCAGCTTCCGCGCGGTGACACGCGCGGATCCGTGGCCCCGGCTCTCGTCCGGCGGCGCATCAAGGCGAGACTATCCGCTCCGAGGGAAACAATTACTCCGCGAGCGAGTGCATAAATAAGGAGGAAGAGAAACGAGCGGACAGCGGAGGCCACAATGCCTCCCGACCACGGTGCTGACTGATTTGCATTGACCGCACGATGAGATGCAAGCAAGAACTGTGGTCGGTGGTCTTTTGCGGCGAGCGGAGATTGAAACACTCAGCTGTTGAAAAATGTATTCTACTTGATATTTGGAAATTCTCTTCTTGTTCTATCTTTAGTTAATAATTACAGTAATAACCCTTGGCCGATATCGCTGCTATATTATTTCATTTAATTTGAACTTGCGAAAGACAGAAGAACTGTGAGATACGAAAGATCATTGTGAAAATGGTAATTTTCTACTCAAGAGTTTTTCAATCACCGTATTATATTTTAATTCAATTACAAGATTACAATTGTAATTAGTAATATATTAGTAATATTAATTAGTAATTATTAATTAGTAATATATTAGAGAATTTTATCCAAAACTGAGATTTACAAACGGACGGAGGAGATGAGATAGAAAAAAAATTTCATCGTTCAATTTATAACGTCAATCATACATTAATTGTAACACATGTTACATCGGTATCAGTTACAATATCGCGATCGATGAAAGAAAATTCAAAATAAGAGCAGAGTAACAGTAGAACACTCTATTCCGAAGTAAATATTACATCGAGGTTATTCCGTTATATTCTTTCGGTTACAATGAGTATTGTCGAGGGTTGGCCGAGTCGCACGCCGCGACTTTTTATCCGCGAGAAAGGGAGAGGAAACGTGTGTCAAGGGGTGGCTGTGGCTGTCGGCGGGTATTCCGGAGAAAGGAGGGCCGAAGGGTGGTTGGCAAATACGTAGGACGCATTCAGATCAGTCTCCGAAGGAAAACGAGGGGAGGTATAGAAAAGCTTTTTCGGAACGCGTCAGCAAGAAACATCAAAGTCCGTGCCATTTCCTCCGCTCGAATACAAATGAAATAGTGTACGTATTGTGTCGTTTTCTCATCGATACCTAGAGATTCCCGCGGAAATACGCTTCTTTTCGTAATAAATAAATACGAAAGGCAGAAGAAAAGAATATAACAAATTATAACCTACGACATGAAAATTATCAGACCGTGGGTTTTTATGCAAATTTGTATTTTCACGAATCACGTCTGAATCACAGAGATTCGTCTTTCTTATTAAAGTTTGTAACAGATATTGCACCTCCGATATTTTACACAGTTTCGTGGATTTTTGTACCTTTTTTTGTATCTCGCACGAACGCACGAAAATATGCTATGCCTAGGTTTCGTTTCTCTAATTTTATCGGATGATTTCTCAATTGTTTCATCGAACGAGCGGGCCAACGCGTTTCTGACGATTAAACTCAAACGATCGGCAGATAAAGTAAATATCGAGAAGGGGAAAGCGCATGTAAACGACGCGACCGTGGAATCGCGAAATACATCGGCCGTAATACGCGAGACGGAAAATAGCGGCAATACTCTTGAGTGGCTGAAATGGTGGCCTGGGGGACCTACGGGGATAAGGATTTGCTCCAAGGGGAAATACTCGTGCGAGTGGCACATGCGGGAATGCATATGCAGGGAACGGCGAGCGCAGGTGCGTCTATTTCTGGCACTTTACGGGCACTGCAAAATCCCAAATTTCTTCTCTGAATCATCGTTCGTGAAACGTGCCTTCAGCACCATCCTTCATCTTCATCCAAATTCCACGAAACAGAATTATAATTTGATTGTAAATGATTATATTTTTTAGTGAGTCACAAATTTAGTGAGTGTCAGCCATTCATGTAATCAGACCCGACATTCGGGACCATCTTTCACCTTCGTTGCGAAAAGGAATCTTCATTTCTCTTACGAGAACGAATTGTAAATCGAAATTATAAATTGGTATCAGCCGTTCAAACGATTAAAGACGAATCGAGGATGAATCTTTGATGAACACGTGATGTGAGATCCCTGAAATGGGATGAAGTAAAGATCGTATAAAATATTACATTTTCAACTAATAATGTTCATTTTAATAACGTAGTATTTGTAATATTTGTAATAGTTTGTTATAATAATTAATATATAATGTGTTATCTTTAATGTTATCTACATTATACCGAATCTCGTAAAGAGTATATAAGTCTGGAATGGAAGATCATATGAAAAATAATGATTGCTGAATAATGTTTTCAAATTTTGTAGTAATGCGTGAAATCTGAATTTTATAAAACAAATCACAGAGTAAACGTGGACAAGGGTACCAGAATGGCTGCGACACGCCACTGTGACTCGAGGGCCGTATAGTCCGCCCCCTTCCCAGATCAATAATACCATCCACGTTCTCAGCGCATGTGCGCCGGAATATCGCCCCGTAAAGCGTGCTGGTTTCCACCCCCGGATGAACTACGTTCCGAACGCCTTGCACCCCTCCATGCAACATTCATAGCGCCATCAATATTATACGCGCGAAATAATAACCTGTGCATTTATTATGAGGAGGGTGGCTGTTGTGGCTCAAGAATGCCGTAAAAAAAAGAGCAGAGACAGAGACAGAGAGAGAGAGAAACATTCGACGGGAGGTGGTAAATTATGCGTGTAAACTGTTATGCAAATCAATTGATCGTTGAGGGTGAGAGATGGACGGAAGTGATGGATCGGTTTTCAAGAGAGAATCTTGGAGAGAAACGTTGACGCGAGATTAATTGCACCGTGGCCTCTGTCGAACGATTGCAGCCAGCGGTAGATTTTTTTCACCTGATCTCGAAATTTCGACACCTGTTTCGAAACTTGAAGTGACGATTCTGTAAGAGGGATATCTTGTTCCAGCAACTGAAATTTTCGCGTGAATCTTTATCGACTGTAGTTAAATAAAATACAGAGATATCTAATCCAGGTTCTTGTTGAGGAACATCCTAATTCTTTCCGGATCTGATCTACCTATTTCTTTACCTATTCTCTTTTACATCGATAGTGCCGGTGTACTATGAACTGTACTACAGTGCGCTGAGAAGTTTTTCAGAGAATATCTTTGACTTTTAAAGTATGAAGTTCAAAGATGAAACTATCAACTCAGAATTTAAAGATATTAATAGAATATTACGAGTGAAAATTAAACAGAAAACGGAGAGAGTGATTCCTTTAAATATTTTCGTTTTTTCTTTTCCGAAAGTATTGACCGAAACTATGTTTAAATTCTTTATTCATTGATTTTACGTATTTTTCTTACCTGAGTTTCGAATCACAGATTCCCAACACTTGGGTTTCGATATTTCGCATAATCCATCCCCAATAACAACGATTGATCGATTCGATCGGTACGTCTTTATCTTTCGTGCTTTCGTAACGAAACGAAGTATGCAGTGCAAAATTTGAATCATACTTCAATAAGAAAGAAACGTCGAACCATGTCAGTTTTCGTTACGATTAAAGGTTATATGCGTTTCTTGGAAGAATCTTTGTAAAACACGCGATATTTTCGAGATAGCGTCCGATACAGGAGGAAAACGCGAGAAAAATGGTGAAAGAATCGAAAGGATTGTTCAGCAAACAGACCAGGAGTTATTTTATGAGGTAATCGTCGCGATCGGGTCACTTTCGATTGTAGTACGATCAAAAAGGGAACTTAATCCCTGTCGTCGTACGAATACGACGTTTGCATCGGCGTCGAAGAAAGATAACGGAGGTGGAAGAAAGCGTGGAACAAAGAGAACGACGAGAGGACAAGTCTCGTCGTAAAATCTTTATTACTATCGGGCACATCGCCTGCAAAAAAATCGTCCCTATCGCATTTATGTAATCTCTGATCCTTAAATTTCCTCATACATATCGCGTTTTCTATCTTTATGCTTCCCTCTTGCCCCCTTTATCTTTTTTCTTTACGATCGACGACGGTGAAAAGGAAAACGAGATACCACGCACGTGCACATATCATTTGCACCATTTTAATCAGTCATGCACGTCTCTCATTCATTCATCAATAAATGTAAAATGTACTGAATAATACTCACAATTGCGACAATCAACGATGATAAGAAAATTAGAGAGATACTACATCGATTTCACTGTCTCAATTAGAATACCTCTCATTCACTCGTTAATTGTAAAAATTGATCTAAATTTACAACTTGACCGTTCTGAATTGATGTTTCAACGCGTAGATTGGTGACAGGTTACATTTCGAAATTTCATTCCTTACTTTCAGTATCTGTTTCTTCTGTAAATGAAACAGCACATTGCCACTCCTGCTTTACACATCCTTGTCCCAAACCGTTTCCACCTTTCAACTCGAAATGCACGCAACAAATACGCGTCAAGCGAAATTATTGTATTCACCGTTTCAATTAGGCACGCACATGTCTCCTCCTGTGTATATTTACATTTATATTTATCACTAAACGGAATAACTTACGGACTAATGAACTACTGTTGATTATTTTCGTTTGTTTTATTTTTTTTCTTTTTTCTTCTTTCTTCGTTTGTTTTTTTCAAGCACGCACTTCTGGGGACCGGTGTTCAACTGGATGATACCCATAGCGGCCATATCCGACACGCAAAAGCATCCGAGAATCATTAGCGGCAAAATGACTTTGGGTGAGTTGGCCGCGGCCGCGCTTCGTCGTTGAACCTTTCGGGGAATTCGAGTTTCGCCGCTCATAATAATCACGTATCGCGAGAGACGGCCACAAGCACGACGATGGAACCACGAACGCGGACAAAGCGGGGGCGGGGGACGTCAAGGGCACAGAGAAACGGCCCCATAAAATAATTGCCGCTCGAATCATCGTTTATTTCTTAATGAGCCGTCGTGGAACACGCGGTTGAACGAAGACGATTGCCGATTGACGAAAGATCGCGCTGGGATTTGAGACACTTTGCATCGCTTCAAATCTGCCCTTAGAATACGATTCGAACTCTTGGAAATCATGAGTTGGCAAGTCTCGAGTCGAAATTCGAAAAACTTTGAAGATCTTGAGAGTCTTGATTGTGGCGAATCTCTTGAAAGTTCTGAGAACGAAGATCTCAAATCTTAGCAAGTCTCAAATCTTAGCCTTGGAAATTTCGATAGTCTTGATCGTTTTTTGTGAGTTTTAAGCAAATAGAATTTGAACGAACTTTTCAAGAATCATACGAATACAAATTCAAAGCGACTGAAACTTACAAAATGGGCGGCGAAGAGCGAATTTTCCATTTCTCTCACTTCTAATTCATCTGCTTTGATATCTTTTAGCATTGGCACTGTACTCGATGATGTTTATGAGATTCGCCATGAAGGTGCAGCCGAGGAATATGTTGCTGTTCGCGTGCCACTTCGTCAATACCTGCGCGCAGCTTACGCAAGGTTACAGGTTTCTCAACTATCATTATATCTCGAAACAAGAACCTGTCTCTGTGAATAAGAAGGAGTGACTTCGTATATGCTAATTTTAACGATCATGTAATTACAGACAGATATTCCGTATAACGATGGTTATTCAGTATTAATCGTGCAAAGAATTTTATAATAAAATCTAATTAAATATTAATAAATATTACGTAATTAAATAATAATATATATTACATAATAAATAATAATAATTAATATTAATTATTATTATTTATCATGTATAAATAATAATAAATATTACATATTAAATAATAATAAATATTACATAATTAAATAATAATCAAATATATTTAATTAATATTGTATTTACTCTAATTTCAAAGTGACGAAGCGTTAAATAACCAGCAAACCACACTCAATGAACAGTACAAAGTTTTAAGATTCTGTGAAAATGTAAAGAAAATTCCCCGTGAAATCAGCCTATTCACTCGAGATTTTCTCTATTTTGTTCCCCCTCCACGTCGAGCATAGTGGAAAAGGGCACTAGTTTATTCGTGGTGGCCCCAATTCGATGGACGAATGTATAAGGAGAGCAATAATTTCCTAGGGGTCGGCTGTCCTTCTCGTTTCTTTTTCCCGCGCCACGAACGAAGAACCATTCGATCGAGGCTTGGGGTCATTTTATGGGATCTGGCACGGATCAGAGGCACGAATCTATTCCGGTTTTTCTGAATGCTAAGCCACGCCGTGTCTTCGTCCCGTTTCTGCTCTTTGCATTCGTTTGGCCTGTGCGAAGGGACGCGAGGGCGGACCTCGTGTCCCTGAATAAATATATATAGGCTGATTAGCCCTGCTTGGCTTCGATCATGCGTTCCTTCCCTTTATTTGCTTCCTTTGCATCCAGGGAAGATCGGTGACGTCACTAATCAGCACCTGCTTCGGATCGTTTCCGAATATCTTGAGAGACTGTGCAACTTTAATATTTTGATAATATTTCGACGACTAAAAGTAATTTTTCTTCCATCTCCGTAGTTGTATAAATTCTTCCCATCATGATAAATTATTACTGTTACAGCCCTGGTCATTGAATTGGGATTACTCAAAGTTTTCAACGCTCCACGTGTTTTTAATAAAATTCACAGGTTCGAACTACGAACTTTCTTAACTTTTAGATTATTGCACGTTATATTAGGTACATAACATGATGGTATGACATCAAAGAAATCCATTTCTCCTTCATAGCAGAAAAGCTATTAATGTACATACATGAGCATAATACCGCGTGTAAGTACTACACTTGTACGACACGTATGCATCTATAATAATTACTAAATCACGTTCAAACTCACCAGTTTTACTGAGATCTTGCAAGATATTGAAACTTATAAATTTATTCAATTCTTATTCGATTCAGACCGAAGACTGTCCAGTCCAACGATCCAACCCATTCCTCCAATTTTCACAGCCAGATCCTCCAATTTTCACGGGCCATTGTCGAATCGTACGAAACAGGGGAGGAAGAAGATCGCAGAAGCGAGACAAGGTCCACGGGGATGAGTCCTTCGGGACTGATTTCACAAACAAATGCCGACGATTGAATGCTGGCATGTCGCAAGATGGATCGCTCTCTTTGAATCACAGATTACCCGCTGCCTTCCTTCCACTTCGTCCTGCGGCCCTCCTCCTTCGGCAGCTCGCAACTGCCGTTTCCAACTGCCCTCTTCCTCCGGAGAGACGGCTCGCCTCCTCCTTTTCTTGCTCCACCTCTCTTTCGAGGCGCCTCTCCACCTTCGCTTCGCTGATACGGACCAAGAAGCCAGGAGAGAGAGAGAGAGAGAGAAAGGCCCATTCGAAACTGGCAGCACCGGCAATTTGCCACATGCTTACGTTCGCTTGCCTCTCCTTTCTCCTTCGAAGAGGAGTCTACGTCAACGACAGCCGAATCCGCCGCGAAACTCGGACGCGATCTCGACGAACGGTGACGTTCAAGCATTAATCAGGAGAATCTATTCTATATAGTACGAAGTACTATAGAGTTTCGTAGTGTGATCTTAGAGTAGCATTTGCTCCAGAAACTACGGAGGAAAATTATTAAAGAGTAAAATTAAATTAAATTAAAAATTGAAAAAGGAAAATTAAAGAAATTGTGGGTAATTAACCTGTTAATTATGAACAAATTTGCTAGCAATTTTATCAAAAAGATAAAAGGTCTAGTTGATATCGAAAAATACTACTAAAAATGAGCCTCTCGTACAAACATCTTGACAATTTTTGACCCATTAAAGCACTTCGATTTCTTGAAATTTCATTGTAGAAGTACCAATTTGACTTGAATAAATCCAAGGATATTATATGTATTTATTGGAAGAATTTGTTATATTTCATGATCAATTAGATTTCAGGATCAGTGATATCTAATGTCCTTCTTAGAAAATTTCCAACATGTGACGAAGTCGCGCACTAAAACACGAATTCGATAAGCGAACGACCGAGTCAAAGGTCACGAGCGTGTACGTGCGATTCCGAGGAGGGTGAATCGAGGTGAACAATAAAAATTAAAGGAACCGGCCGAGGAGACGCGGAGGAAACAGAGGGGTGGAAAAACGGGCTGACCAGAGTGAAATGAACTGTAAAGCGGAATGCACAGACTGTAAAGCTCGTCGTCGCGGAAATCCATGAGCTTGGGAGAACGAAGGAAGAGAAGAAGAAGAAAAAAAAAGAACACCGAGAGAAAGAAAGGAAAGAGGGGGTGGTAGGGGCACCCTCTAGATCCCGACGACTTTTCGTTGGTCGATGATCTTTAAATTAAGTGCACCGGCTTATGACGCCCGTGTAAAGTCTTCTCCGAGTGGATTTTCGCGAACGGGGGAGGCCGCAGGAAAAAAAAAAGGACTCTCGAAACGCGTGGCGAATGCGACCTGACGAGCAACCCCCTCGGCGAAATGAATCAAACGCACCCTCACGATGCAGGACATACATTAGACTGACACGCTTGGCACGGGCCATTTGGAATGCTGACTATTCCCGCAGAAAGAGAAAAATATATATAATGTATATAAAAATACACATATATATATAAAAACTTTATATATATATATATATATTTATATTTATATATATGTGTATGAAGAAAAAAAGAAGGAAGGAAATAATTCTCGAACAACAATTTGCAATATTATAGATGGAAAAGAGTTTATATATATTTTACGATAGACCTTTGAACGTTATAGTATGTATTGCAGCATGCATTGACATATATCTATTTAGTACGTGATTATCAATCGAAATATAATACAAACTAAAAAAATAAGTTACAATATAGAAACGAAATAAAATTCACTTTTTTAGTGGGAATCATGAAATGATAAAAATTTTAACAAATGGTTATATTCTTGTTACTACTAAAGAAATACGTAAATTAATAACTAATGATTATTCATAAAAATTGTTCTTTAGTGCGTCTGCTCTTCTTGCTTTTTATAGCATCTTTTACGACGGAAATTTGCACGATTCTTCAATACTTTATTCGGGATCTACGTATGACATAAAAAATCAAGAGAACGAAGCATCACTGTTAAAAAAGTAATGGCTGATGATGACCGCGTAGAGGGGGAGGAATATTCCTGGTGGATTCATAAAAAAAAGAGAAAAAGCAAGAAGTGCTCGAATCACCCCTGAAAAATAACAGGAAACCAGGGCGCAAGATCGCGCCATACGGCCGTGAAAGCGTTCAGCGTTAAAAAATCATGAGGGTGTCGTTTCCCTCCCCCATCCTGGCTTTGAATCGTCTCGGATACGATGTATTTTTCGAGTCCTCCATCACGATCGTGACTCGTGGAACTTCAGTCTGAAAATTCCGTCTCCGAATTCAGAAACTAAATTATCCGTTACGAGTAACCTTAAGTTTGAAAATATTTGTTGGTAAAGGAAAAAAAAGAAGCAAAAGTCTGAGCATGAAAGTGCAAAAGGTTAAGGGATTCCGGCTGGCCAGGGAACTTCGTCGCGATGTTTTCGTTCAGGGGGTGCGCCATCGTAGATGGCAACATAATCCTCGATAGAGGGCCATGACACATGGGGACACGGGGAACATCTTATCTTCATATTACACACGCGTGACGGTTCTCAACTCGCAATATTTATGTGTTATATATTTACCCAAATATATTTCTTCATAAAAATTGGATAATACGTCTATGTATAGCTTTATAATATATAATACATTTACGTTCAAACTTACTCCAATCATAGACAAATTATTAGCTGTAATAGCTCATTTAACTTACATAATAAAGAAAGTGAACGTTGCATAATGAACATGACAAGGCATTGGTAATTTTATCAAAACATCTGTGTCTATAATTTAAGATTCATAGTCCAATTTTTTCGATTCACAATTTTAATTATACATTAGCATGATTAAAACGAAAGAACATGTACAAATAAGTTTCTAAGGGAGGTTCGAAGTGTAAGAAGTCTCGCTTTAATCCTAAAACGAAAGTTCTTCTAACGACCTCGACAAATTCTTTTGCAACGGAGAACTCGCGGCCGGATTTTCGCGAAATCGGGGATTCTATTACTTCAAAAGTGTAGCGTTGGTGAGCAAACAAGTTCCTCAAAAGGGATGATTCCTCGCGCGGATCACGCGTGCACAATCGAAAGAGCGGACGAACACGCGCACCCACACGTAGACTTTTGGTGTTCACGTTTCAGGACGATTTCAATGACCGGAGGATGGTTTATGAGCCGTAACCTTCCTGTCCAACCTTCCACCCTCTCCTACCCAACTGAAGAAGTATCCTTGGCACTGAGTAACGTGACTCAATCCCCCTGTAAACTCGATGCAATATATTAGGGTTAGGTTTCGCGAAGAAGAAACTATCAATGCATGTATTCTGCAGCACTTTCAGATTTGTTCCCTAGCAATAATAAAAAAACGACAAAGATGACAAGGATGGCTGTCATCGACAGAGTTCTATTTTTTTTAATTATACTGGAATTAAAACAAATAAAAATCCTAATCATGGTCTAACAATATATATAAAGATGACAATATATTTCAAGATCTTTGATTATTTTACCATACAGTGGTTGAATAGAAGAAAGTTGATGACAGCCAAAATTGACGACCTGAACAGCAAATAACACCAGATTAA